CCCGCGGCCCGGCCAGTCCCGCTCCATATAACTGGGTCCCCCGCAGACCGGCCAGCCCCGCTCTGTATAACTGGGACCTGGCTGACTCTAGCACCAACTCTCTTTTTATTTATCTTTTTAGGTTTTGCCATAGGGTGTGTTCACTCACTAGAGACAGAGAGAGGGAAAGTGAGAGATCGCCCTCTGGGGGTCTGGCCACACGGCAGAACTGCCTGCCCCATTCTCTTGGGGTCCCGGGCACCCACGCACACAGCCCAGCCGGGTTTTCAAGCTGCTGGCCCAAGGCTTGAACTGCGGTCGGCCATGTGGGGGTCCAGCCCCTTAACCACCGTGCCATCTGCCGGCCCCTGGAACCAAACCCTAACTAACACAGACCTCCTTCTCTTCCTGCATCTTAGGCCTACCTGTACGAGACAGCTTCGTGCACCTTTTCTCACCGACTGGCGGGGCACGCGGACACGGTCAGTGCAGTGGCCTTCAGCCCGTCAGCTCCCCAGGTACGGTGGCTCGCACTCCTGTGTACAGTGCTGGGGCTCCCCAAGAGCGCTGCCCATCTCCTCGAGCACAGAGCTCAGGAAGCACGCCTTCACTGGACAGACAGACGTGCTGAGGCAGCTCCGATTCAAGCACCTGTCGTTTGGTGCCTGGAAGCCCCTGTGGCAGGTGGTGGGAGGCAGCAGTGGGGCTTGTGGGGTGACAGCCCTGGGGCGAGGAGGGGCAGGGCAGACCCTGAGCAGAGAAGCTTGGACGCAGGACTGCGGGGCTCACAGACACCCCTCGCCAGGAGGACATGAGGGCGACACCTGCAAGCTGGTCACGCACAAAGCGGGGGCCACCCATGAGCGCAGGGAGACATGAGTCCCGCTGGGTCCCGTACCTTCTGCCTACACTCGCGGGTTGGGGAAGGTTGCCTTGGCTCCGCGTCTGGGGCAAGGCTTTGACGCAGACGCAGTACTGCCGTGCCACTGAGGTGTGGCCGCATGTGCAGCTGTGCCCGCGTGTGGGTGAGTGGGTGTGCTCTCTGCCTCTCTCCTCTCAGAGCACATGTCGCTACAGCCAGGGCGGCCACGTGCCTGGCCTGCAGTTCGCTTCCGGAGCACGCGGAGGGTCGAGAAGGCTAGTGACCACACTCGTGTCAGTGACTGGCGCCCTGGCAGCACGTCCCTGCAAGCCGCGGAAGCCCGCTCCCGCCCTCGGCCTTCTCGGTCCTGCTGGGTGACGACAGGTCTACACCGGCCTTCTGGTTGTGGCGGTGTTGAGGAGTTGCTGGCTCTATCCGACCTGGTCCAGCTGTGGCTGTGCTGCCCGCGTGTCTGAGCTGTCCTGGTGCCGGATGCGTGACCGCGCTGTGGGAGCATTGTGTGGTGGGATGCAGGGTGAGAAGAGCGGGGCTGGGCGAGGCCAGCAGGAGCGCAGCAGGGCGGGCGGGACTGGGTGCTGTCTCTGGGTGGGATGTACCATCTGCCTGCGGAGCCCGGCACTCGGCACTCGGCTCAGACGCTTCCCAGCAGGGCTGTGAGCTGGCGCGTTTGTGGCACTGGAGAGACTCTCATTAGAGAAGACGGCAAGGCCTGTAGCACGGGGTTACCTGAGTGGAGAGAGGAGGTCAGTGCGACCTACTGCGTCGGAGAAGGGAGGGACAGGCGCGGGCTTCTGTCACCCTCACCGCGGTTCTTACTCTTTTTTTTTTTTTTTAGGGGTTTTTTCTTTGAGGCGTGTGCGTTCTCCAGACAGACAGAGAGAGTCTCCAGACAGACAGAGAGAGACAGAGACACAGAAAGTGAGAAATCACCCCCCAGGGGGGATGGTCACGCCGCAATCCCTTCTCCACCATTCTCCTCTCGGGATCTTGGGTACACACGCACATGTGCATGGTGTGAGTTTAAGTCACTGGGTCCGGGACTCGAACTGCGGTCGAGTACTTGGTTCTTGACGAAGCGCCCTCGAGGGCAGTCAGAAGTCAGTGCTTCGGCTCATGCGCAGGGAGCCACAGAGCTTTAGAAACCTGAAGGCACTGTGGCTGGGGTGACGGGGCTCCCTGTGGGTGGTTCTGAGGAAGGGAAGTCCTGCAAGATGGAGGGCGGAGAGCTGACTGCATGGGGGTGGCCGAGGGGCAGCTCAGCGTCTGGCACTCAGGCCGTGTGTGTGGCGTGTGTGGCCTTCCACAGCGTGGTCCTTAGTTACAGGTACTCTGTGTGCGATAGACCATAGTAGGGCTGACAGTGGACGTGCACTGCATGGTCCTTAGTTAGGGACACCCGTGTGATATTACATAGTAGGGCTGACAGTGGACGTGCACAGCATGGTCCTTAGTTAGGGACACCCCGTGTGATAGACCATAGTAGGACTGACAGTGGATGTGCACAGAGTATGTACCAAGGTCTGCGCCAGTGTCCGGGCCATAGTCAGAGCCAGGGTCTGAGTCTGGGTCGAGCCAGCGTCTGGACCAGGGTCCGAGCCGATGTCCACACCACCTTCCTCTGCTTTCCTATCTGTGCCCCTGATGCCTTCCCCTGAAGGGCTCTGTGGGAGCAGGTAGAGGCTGCGTCACTGCATGGGGACCTGGGGCAGCTTCCGAGGGCGTGGGAGCTGAGACGGACAGGACTTACCGGCAGCTTCGAGCAGAGCCCGCGTCTTATTTACCACGGAGATGTGGGGACCAGAACAACGCTCTCCCTCCTGAGACAGAGTTGGGCTCCACATCTAAATCTCAGAGCAGCTGCTCATTTCTGTCCTCCGGCAGGCAGCATGAACTCGGTTCTCACTAACACGCCGTGACTCCTGTTCCTTCTTTCGTAGTCGCTGATGCTCTCAGACATGCGTGTCCGTGTGTGACCTGCTGTGGCAGTATCACTTCCAGATGGCTCCGGGCTGTCTCGTGCCCACACTGTAAGGAATGTTCCGTAGCTTCCTTTTGGAACTGTTGTCATAGTCAATAGCCAAACCGTAAAAGTAAGCGCCAAACAGACCAGCGCGAGTAGCCCGCCACTGTCCCGTCGTCCACTTCCACGTTCAGGTATGTTCTGTCACAGCCCAAGCTTGTGGTGCACGTAACCCTGGCCTTTCACGAGCAGGTGGGTGCCACACGTGTGCCCCAAACGGCCCAGCGGGAGTAGCCGGCCACTGTCCCGTCGTCCACTTCCACGTTCAGGTATGTTCTGTCACAGCCCAAGCTTGTGCACGTAACCCTGGCCTTTCACGAGCAGGTGGGCGCCACACGTGTGGATCTTGGCCGCAGGCGTCATGCTAGCCGGGCACCCCCAGACATACATCAGAATAATGTTTGCCCCAATAGCTGGACTCGCATGGCCCAGTCAAGGTGACACCTAAAATCATGCACCGTCATGCCACCGCCTGTCCTGGATACATGAGCAAGGCGGCTCAGTGACTTCGTGTAGAAGTGTCACTGACAGCGGGATGTCCAGAGCCAGCAAAAGTGAGACTTGGGCTCGCACTGGCCATGGCAAGGCTTGGACTTCTGTCTCACAGGGGACTGCTGCTTGTGCACCGAGGCAGAGGCTGAGCTGCCCTACCCCGTCTTCTCACTGCTGCTAGACAAGGGGTGATTTCTCAAATGCTTGTGCAGTGCTCGCATGCACATCACACATGGGACCCCAAAATCCCACCCTAAAAGTCACACAGACTGTGGCCTGTGACTTCACAGTGACTCTGCAGCTTGGCGTTTGCACGAAGCTCTTCTGTGCATCTCCTTGGTGTGCAGAAAATGCAGGTCTCCAGCCTGACTGCCAGCCGTGTCTTTTAAACTCCATTGCCCTGTGTGCAGTTGCCTAGTACCTGCCTAACAGACACGAGGCACGTGGAGTTTGCCCGCGTGGTTGTTGAGTGGCGGTGATGCCAGCTCCCAGGAGTGGACGAGACAGGTCTCTGGCAGAGTAGGCGTCGGACATGGTGTTCGGGCGCGGAGAGTCCTGGGGTCATCTGGTGGGGCTGCCGGGGAGGCAGTGGGAGCACTGCGGAGGTGGGCCCGTGAGCTCCTGGCACCTCGGCGCGTTCTCATCACGGCTGTCGCCACATTCCGTCCTTTGTCGTGAGCGCCCGTCCCTGCTCCTCACCGCAGCGGTGCCGCTCTCACCCCTCGATGCCTGCTTCCGCTTGGAGAGTCTCCAGCTCACTGAGATCAGTATTTCACCTTAGTTTTAGACTTTCTTCTTCTCCCTAATGTTTGCATTCAATGTTATAAAATGCTCTTAAAACACCATTGTCGTTTCAGTCCACAAACTTTGACATGAGGCAGTTTTGTTTTCATTGAGGTTTAATTTTAAAATTTCCATCATGGTTTTTTTATTAGCCAATGAGTTACTTGGGAATAATTTTTTGTTTGTTTCCAAACATATGACTTGATTATTTCCAAGGATTATGATTCATATAATGTCAACCTGGTCCCTGGGGTCATGGTCTACTCTTTGTGTAATTGTCATAAAATTACCATGTGTGCTTGAGAAAAAGTCATGTGTCTGTTGGCTCATGGCTCTACCTCAGTACACTTAGTACAGACCCGTCCACAGCGGCTGTCACTTTTCAGGTCGTCTGTGGCCTTCTATCGTGGCTGACCGATCGCCACGCCTTCCGGGAGAGAGGAGCCCAGACCTGCCGCCAACGGCACGTGCGTCCTCTGTCCCGGCAACCCGTCCGGCTCCGTCGGAGGCGTCTTGCATGATGCCGTCTGTCCTGGGTGGTGGCTGTTGAGCGTGGAGGTTCCTCGCTTACATTGGCGTGTCTGGACTGCCGCCATATTTAACAGCGTGTGCCAACTCCGTACTGGTTAGTACCCGCGTGCGTATCTTTTCCAGCCGTTTCCTTCCAATTTCGACAGCTGGGTACCTTAAACTAACCTGCTAGTCTCTTCTTCCGTCTTTCGCCTGGAGAGTGGAGCACAGCCACACGTTTTAAACTTCTGGAACACTGGGCTCGCTCCACAAGTGGGCTGGGCTGCTCCCGTGCTCTGTCCCTGCAAGGCCAATGTCAGCGTCCCTCTCGTGCCCAGCGTCGGCTGGAAGCTAAGGATCGTAATTCTACTTTGAACTGCTACCCTTAGTATTTTAATTTATATTCTCTCACACATTTAACTGAAGAAGTCTAAGGTTATTTTGCTCCTCAGCTTCCTGCTGGACCAGGAAAAGCTGCCCATAGGCTTATGTTAAGTGAGGGTGCCGTTTCCGACTGCAGCTCGGCGTTGGCACGTTTGCCCCATTCCCACAGTCGCTCCTGTCTGTGGTATCTCCTTTCTTTCCTGTAGGTTTCCTTCTCTTGCCCAAATACATCATCTCGTTTTTCTTTCTTAAGAGAGGCACAGAAAATAAGAGTTGCTGTCTCTTAGTCTATGTCCGAAAATGTCCTCATTTTGCCCTTGCGGCTAATGGCAGTTTAGCACGCTGATTGGCCTTGTGGGTGTCCAGCGCCCTTACCCCCACCCACCTGCCAGCCCCTGCCCCTCTGGCTCTAACTTGCAGGCGTGTTTGTGGGGAAGGCCTCCTGT